CTAGAGCTTGATTTTTTAATTGCACAGGTAGACCTTGGTTATGTGGGTGTTTATCTTTATTAATATCCTTGTGTTTGAGAGTAATTTGCAATAAAATATATTCCATGCCCTCAAACAAGCAAATAAACCACAAAAGTAATACTACTACATTTGCTTCATGATGATGGAAGTATAAAAACTATAGATTTCCTTGTAGTACTGAATTTCCAGGAAATAGGAAAAGTAAGTTTATCCCTACACTGAAAAACAGTTTAGAGAAATCATCACTGGACTAGAAGTATGAGAAACCCCCAAATATGGTAAAGCAAGTAAGACCAGAATGCAGGGCTTGTGCAAGAGTGATCTATGCCCAAAGGAAGTGCTTACTGGTATTAGAATAGGACTTCAGGAAACTGAAAAATGATTAGTGAGTGTACCATGAAAGGAGTGTCCCACCAGGCAGGGGACTTGATAATGTCTGCTCAAGTAAGAACAACGTCTACTGGAAACTAGAGCAAAAAGCTAAGACAATGCCTAGAAGTCAAGGAGTAGACAACCTCAGGAAAGAAGGGAAGAACAAGGGTCAGTCTCCCCGTATTTTCACCAAAAGTATTCTAATTCACCTCAACAATAACCAGAGCTCTCATTTATTATGTACTCTTCTTAAGCCTGGGTGTTAGTTTTCTTTTGATAATATAACAAATTATCACCAACTTTATAGCTTAAAGTAATCAAGTTTATTGTTTTACAGCTATGAAGATTAGAACACTAAAGTATTTTCACATGGCTATGCTTTCTGGAGAAAACACTCTTCTCAAGAAACTGCCTAACATTCCTTGACTAAGTAGACTCTTCCATATATATTTTAATTTGGTGGTGGTAGTAGCATTTCTCAAGACAGATAATAATGGAAGAGTAGGTTTGAGATGAGACTTAACAAATTCTCTTTGGAGCATCTCTGATCTCTCCTTAAATCTTTCATTTACTCTAACCTTGTGGCTTCCCTCTTAATAAGAGAACTATGGTTGTGTTGGACCCACTCAGAAATTCCAGGATGATCCCTCCATGTCAAAAATCTTTTACTGGGGTCTGAAGAGATGGCTCAGTGGTTAAAGAGCACTGATTGCTCTTGCAGAGGACCCGGGTTCAGTTCCTAGCACCCACATATAGCTAACAACCATCTGTAACTCCAGTTCCAGGGGATCCAACACCCTCTTCTGACCTCTGTTGTCACTGCATGACACAGGTGTACTTAAATACATGCAGGAAATACATTCATACACATAAAAAAATAAAAATAATAAGTGAAATATTTTAAAAATTCTTTACTGGATTACAACTGTGAAGTTTCTTTTGCCATAGAAGGTCACATATTCACAGGTTTTGTGGCTAGAAACATAGACATCTTTAGTGCCTAGAGGTCCAACAAGCATCACGAGCAATTACCCATTAACCTTATTAACACCAATATGATATATTCATTTACAGATGGAAAAATTTGGGCTTCGGAAAGTTAAGTAATATTCCGAACTTAACACAACTTGAAACAGGCAGAGCATGGAAAGCTAGGTAAGGTTGGAGAGAGTCCTTGCCATGCTCTTCTCCACATCTTCCCCCTTTCTCATCTTCCCTTCCACTTTAGTGTTAAGGGAGTACAAATACTACCTCATTCCACCTTATATGACTGAATTGAAGCAGCTGTGGGGTATGATGGCAGAAGGAATTTCAAGATGTGACTTAAAATACTGATAGTACTATGATTGGGGGCAATTAAATTAGCTCTAATTTTATTGGTAAACAAATGTTATTGTAAAAATTCCAGATTTGAAATGTGTGAGGCACATAACTAGCACATAAATGTTAGTTTCCATCCTCTCATTATACTCATAAAACCCCACAAATCAGTTGTACATCTTTCCTCAAGTTCTACTCCAAACAGAAAAGTAATCGCTAATTCCTAAAATCTTGATATCATGATTTATTCCAGTTAATACTATGGGTGGTAATATTTGGACTATTAAATACACTGTGTTTACTGAGTAACAACTTCTGTGACCTTGTTTTACATAAATATGGTTTCTATTAAGGTTTTAGAAATACTGTAGCCTGGAGCCTAAACCCTGTTCTCAATTCTCTGGAGAAACTAGATGGTAGTTGAGGTCCTAGGTTATTTATCTGTTCTATCTACGGTGTTATACAGAGCTGTATTGTCCTTGTGGAGTGGGGTTATACAGAGCTGTATTGTCCTTGTGGAGTGGGGTGAAAGGAAGTAAGCAAGCTTATACATTAAACGACAGAAGAAAACCAGAATGCTAGCTCCGAGGCCTCTCTTCAGGGAGAAAAACTCTTGGGGCAGGCCAGGATAAACTCCAGGGAGGAAGGTGTCTGTGAGCAAGCAGATGGCATTTAGATAGCCGAAAATACAGGGAAGGCACTTCAGGCAGAGGAAACTAAGACCCAACAAGGAGTGGACAGTGCTCACTTTGCACTGAAGGGGGCAAGCTGAGCCACCTATGATGCCACACTGGCCTGGAAGCCTAGGAGCCAACCTGCATTCTACTATCTTCTCTCTGCTCCCCATTTCTATCCAGTGTCTGAAGCCTTCCAGTGGTCACCCTTCAAAGCATTTCTGTCTCTCCATCTCCATGGCAACAGCCTTTTAAGGCTCACTTTCCTCCCTCTTGCTTCTTATTCTAATTGCTTCCTCTGTGGCCTGCCTGGAAGAGTGTGCCCTTCCGTGAGGCTGCACAAATATAAGTCTGATCTCACTGCCCTGCTTAAGGACTCCGTGAATATGTACTAGTGTAAAGACTCTGTGCCTCTTGCACACTGCTGACTTGCTTTGCACCCCCATCTCTTCTTGTCACCCAGAGCTTTGGCCATTAAGGGTATTACTCAGGTCCTGAATGGGGCCTAGGCATTAGCCATATACACATAAACGCCTTCTGAAAACCAGGGAAGAGAATGAATGCTGTGGAAGCCAAGACAGCAAAGAAGGGCTGGGGTCAGCTGATCTCCTCCAAGAATGGGCTGTGCCGCGGCCCTCCCCCACCCCTCTCAGCTGGCTGTTGGTGAGAATGGAAGAGCCCACCGCTGGCCGAAACCCAAGAACTAATCGTAAATGCCTGTACCAGCTTGAAGAATATCGAGCCGCACTGCTAATGTTTTGTCCTGTGCACTGGAAAAATCGCCAACAATACCTAGTCATCTTATCTACCCTCGTCGGACCCAAGATACAGCCTACTCCTTTCCCTTTGCGCTAGCGGAAGTTCGTGTGCCCGAGCGGCCCACTTCCTCTACGGTGTCCGCGAGTGCGTGGCAGGAGAGGCGGAGCCAACGCCGCTCAGCCTTCTCGCGTGCTTTGAGCGCGGGTGGCAACTGCTTGCGCAAGTCAGCTAGCGTGGGAAGGGGCTTTGTGGCTGAAATCGGCTCGTTGGTCGGTACAAAGACTCCACTGGCGTTTGTGGCTCTGCGGCCCACTCTTCTTAAAGTACAGCTAGCAACTTTACACCGACGCAGCAGACATCTTGCTCTGGGACTGCTGCGGGCTCTGAGCACCTAGGTAGAGACATGCCTCGCGGACGGAAGAGTAGGCGCCGCCGGAACGCAAGGGCGGCTGAAGAGAACCGCAACAATCGCAAGATTCAGGCCTCGGAGGCCTCTGAGACCCCGATGGCGACCTCTGTGGTCCCCAGCACACCAGAAGACTACCTGAGCGGCCCAGAAGAAGACACGAGCACTCCCGAGGAGGCCTCCACCACCCCCGAAGAAGCCGCGAGCACTGTCCTGGTGCAAAAGCCTTCAGTTTCCCGGAGCAATTTTCAAGGCACCAAGAAAAGTCTCCTAATGTCCATACTAGCCCTCATCTTCATCATGGGCAACAGCGCCAAGGAGGCCCTGGTCTGGAAAGTGCTGGGGAAGTTAGGGATGCAGCCTGGGCGGCAGCACAGCATCTTTGGAGATCCGAAGAAGGTCGTTACAGAAGAGTTTGTGCGCAGAGGGTATCTGATTTATAAGCCAGTACCCCGCAGCAGTCCAGTGGAGTACGAGTTCTTCTGGGGTCCTCGAGCACACGTGGAATCCAGCAAGCTGAAAGTCATGCATTTCGTGGCAAGAGTTCGTAACCGATGCTCCAAAGACTGGCCATGTAACTATGATTGGGATTCCGATGATGATGCAGAGGTTGAGGCTATCCTCAATTCAGGTGCTAGGAGTTTTTCCACTCCATAGAAATATCTGAGGCAGACCCTTGGAAGTGGAAATAAAAAAACACTCCAAGGTAGTCCATGGAGTAGATAGCCTGGGTCCTGAGTTCAAAATGATACGGAGGGTGGGGAGGGCACTGTATTGAGTATTTGTGATCAGTACAAATTTTTAACTGCAAAATATAGTGTTTGCTTTAGATACTGTAAACTTGTAATCATTTTATAATACTGTTAAGGATCACAATATGTTTAAATACATAAATGAAGCATTTATGTTATTTTTCCTGTCATTGCTATTTGATATAGCATTGTTGCTAACCTTATAAAATGAAGCCCTTCAGTTATGCTCTGTGATATAAAAATTGGTATCGTTGAAAGAGGTTCTTTTTTCAAAGAACTGGTTCGGGGTATACTGGTTCGGGATAACCTGTATAATGTGAGAGGAAGAAGAGGATGGAGTTGTTCTCTTACACATCTGAAAAGCTGATCTGTGTCTGATGTCTTGTAAAGAAACGCATTACTTGTGAATATGTTCACTGCACAACGTAATAGAAATAAAAGCATAGTAACTAGTATGCTTTGTTCATTTACTAGCCACCTGTTAAGTGAGAAGCATGCTTGGGTTATGGGGACAGTCCTTGGCAGACAGCCCCCACTTCCCATGAAAGTTCTAGGTCCTGTGAAGGAAAAAGCGAAAACTGACAAAGCAGTGCGTGCTCTTATGAAGAA